ACCCAAACTCGTAGAGATATACAACGAGGTGCTATCCGGGGGCAGATTGGGTAAGGGCATGACACATGGGGTGATAGTTGTCCTGTTCAAGAAGGGTGATAAGGCGGACATCAGAAATTGGCGTCCGATCTCCCTTCTAAATGTATCGTACAAAGTGTTGGCAAAGTCATTGGCTCGCAGACTGTCACAATACTTGCCAGAATTAGTTAAAAGGGACCAAGGAGCCTTTGTGCAAGGCCACTCGATCTTCAATAATATAGTGACGGTCATCGAGGCCCTGGAGGTAGTTCAGGAAGAGAACTTGGACATGGCAGTTCTTCTCCTAGACTTAGAGAAGGCCTACGATAAGGTAGGCTCGCCGTTTGTCTTAACAACGCTGAGGAGACTGGGGTTCGGGGAAGGATTCTGCGCATGGGTGATAGCTATGTACACCTTCTCCACTTTGGCAGTCATGGTCAATGGTCATATCTCGGAGCCTTTCCCTCTCTCAAGGTCGCTGCGTCAGGGCTGTCCCCTCGCTCCCCTCATCTTCGTTCTCCAGCTCGAGGTCCTGCTGAACAGAATCCGTCGTCACCTGGACATCCGTGGCCTCTATCTGCACACCAGGGAGGACTGCAAAGTGAAAGCCCTCGCAGATGACCTGTTGGCAATCAGCGAAAACACGGTGACATCGCTGACAGCACTGAAGGTGGTAATGGTAGAATACTCAGAACTTTCGGAGGCGTCCGTAAATTGGAACAAATCCGTCTACCTCCTCCCTGCGCAATTCTCCCTAAAAGTAGAATGGGGGATGAGTAGGGTAGGGGTCGGTGAGGAAGAAAGATTTTTAGGAGTTCTGATTGGCTTGCAAATCGAAGTCTCAACGCAGGGTCTGTTGCTCCAACAGCGGGTCTCAGCACGCCTCAGACTATGGGTTCAACATGGCATCTGTCCCTGCTGGGCCGAGCCCTAGTGGCTAATGTTGCCCTGTCGATCCTCTGGTTTGTGATGACAGTGCGAGAGCTGGCATTGGGAGTGGCAAAGGTAATTAGGAGACTGGTGGCACGGTTCATTAGGAAGCCTTGGGCCAAAGATTCAGAGGGGTTTCTGTCCAAAGTGGCGATGGACACACTATGCTTCCCACGCCACAAAGGCGGGCTTGGTCTGACGAACCCTGCTCGCAGGAACCAGGCCCAGTTATGCAACTGGATTGTCAAGATTGCTACCATGAAAACAAGGGAGCAGTGGGTAGCAATTGCAGAGAGGATCTTAATGGGTGAGTGGGCTTTGAGCAGGCCACAAGATGTGTGGGCCTGCTTTTTCATACCATCCTTCCGCAAGAAAAAACTCAAGTCGGGGTTTTGGGAACCTATTCGCCGAGCTTGGAACTGGTCACCCCCAGATCAGCAGAAATCCCTGGCCACTCAAGAGGAAGTGTTGAATCAACTGCTGTTTGAGAACCCGGCAACCGTGGACCAAAGTAACCAGGTACTCGCTGCAGATGGATCTGCAGGCACGTTCGGCCAAGCCTGGGTACGCAGAGGTGTGGTCCGGATTTCTGATCTTTGGTCAACTCTCCTGGGAGGCTGGAAACCGCTGGACGAAGTAAACCGCTACTCAGGGGTTTACAGAGGGTAGAAGAGCACTGGAGACAGATCATCAGTGCCATACCGCAGGAATGGAAAGTAATCCTAGGTCCAGAAGGTTTGGATCCGGCAGGCACGTGGTACATACCCAAGCAAGAAAGGGAAGAGGGGACGTTATGGAAGGTGCTGGAAATTCTTCCTAGCGGGTTCAGAAGGATTGAGCGTTGGCGGTGTGAAGGTCCAGCGAACGTGCTCTCCCGAGTGGAGGAGGACACAATCCTGCTTTGGGACAACCCAGCACAGGCTCAAGTGTTGGAGGTCCGTGGGAAGAAACCATCTGCCCTCATCTCCACCTGGGTGGGCAGACTACCACTCAGCCAACTGTGTATCGACCCTTCAGCCTGGAGTTGGGCGCCCAAGCCGGAGGATCAAGCAAGTCTGGGTCTGGGGGAATCCTCTGTGGCAGCTGGATATCAGCGACAACTCCACAAGCTGAAAACACCGGTGCAGGTGGCCATCCCGAGGTGGCAGGCGGTTTGGGAAGAGGATTTGTCCAATGCAGCACCCGAGTTTGAAAAACTCTGGGAAGTACTGTCTACCCTCCCTAATGGGAAGCACACCAGCCTCTTATGGATGCTGTCATTGATGGTATCCCCCTCAGCAGTGTGGCTAACGAGCAGGGGAATGAAGGTGAACTTGGCCTGCACAAGATGTAGGTGGCCTTTCGAGTCCACCAGGCACATGTGGTGGGAATGCCCGGCCTCCAAACGAATCTGGAATTGGTGGGCACACCACTGGAGGGAGTTTGGAGGTCAGGGCGTGGACTGGGATGAGAGATGGGCGTTGTTGGGATTCCTTCCTTCTGGTATGGAGGAGGACTGGGGATGGGGATACATTGCTCACGTAATGAGAGGACTGCTCTGCGAGGTCATCTGGAGGGACAGAAACCGGTCACGGTTCCAGAAGCGCCCCCTCTCAGACCTGGAGATAAAACAGCACATCAAACAAGGGCTGAAGCATGCAATCTGGATCGACTGGAGGCGCAAGGCAAAATCTGGAAAAGGGAACCGTCGCCAGCTGCATTGGTTCCTGTCCACTTGGGCAAGAAGTCACCAACTTGCAGCTGTTCATCCAAGAAAGGGAGTGTTGTCAAAATGGGTGCTGGACTCATCTGCATTGGAAGCGACGCGCTGTGAGGGGAGAGATCTGGGTTAGAGGCGGGACTGGAAAGTGTACGAGTAGGGTTTAGGATGAACCAGGGCACTCGGTTCAGGAGGGCTGCAGTGGGCCTCTAGGTGAGTGTCGATATTAGTTGGACGAGTTCCCTGGGCCGTGGTAGTCCCAGATATAGGACAGGCCCAGACTCCAGAGCCTAGAATTAACAGAGTTTCATCTCAGGTATGCGGTTCAATCCTTCAGAGAATGAACAGGAGGTTTGCAAGAAATGATGTTTTATTTCAGTGAAAGTATAGGAGTAAAAACGAAGACCTTTATCTTTTGGCTAACTCGTTTCTAGGCAGGTTAGTGCTCCCCAGGCTGTGCCTGTAAGCTAAGCTGGCTGATGCTGTCAGATATCCTCCGGATGGAATTGTGAGGTCCCCGGCCTCAAAGTTGGTTCAGTGGTTTATAAATGAATGGGTTTGATTTAAAAAAAAAAAAAAAAAAAAAAAGAGCACGGCCTTTGATTGTAAGAAAAAGATCCAGGGGCCTAGCTCAGTTGGTAAGGCACGCAAGTGGCATTCAGGAGGTCTTGGGTTCAATCCCCATTGGCCTCATGCACCTTCCTGGGCAAGCTTGGCGCCCGCCACCAAGAGATATGCCGTTGGTCCCCCCGAGTGGCATTGAGCACAGACTGCTGATGTTCATAGGGGGAGGGGACCGGAGGGGAGGCACAGTGACTGGCCCATCGAAGAAGCTCGGTCCTGATGCTACAGGCTGACCCCTGGCCGGTATCGCCCACCTGCTGT